AGGTACGTAGTGTCGTTAGTTTCGGGTGGGGCGGGGGGAGGGGTGGAGTTTATTTGCTATTTGGATGATTTCTAGACATTTGGTTTGTAATAACTGACAATATTTTCTTCTTTCTCTTTGTCATGTATATATTCTCTCCTCTCTCTCTCTCTATTGATGTATATTTTCTCTCTTTTCCTCTCTAATTATGTATATTCATTATGTTTTCAGTAGTTTGCTTTGTAGCTTCTTTATTCTGTTTTCTTATTAGTCAATGTTTAATTTAGTAGCTTCTTGCTTAATCTGATAGCTTCTTTTTAATCTAGTATCTACTTATGTTTGAATGGACAATAAGCCTTTGGTTTTCTTAATTCCACGGTTCTTTCCAAATGTAGTTCTTGTGTGAACCGGGTGACTCTTCCCAACAATGGATGGCGTGACAACCTTCTTAAGGGATTGAGTCTGTTTTTGGTGTTTAGGTAAGAATAGCAGTAATAATGAATAAAAAGACCTAATTAAGAGAGTTGACTCTACACTTTCTCTCTCTAGCGGTTAAGTTTGCTCTAAAGGCGCAGGTTAAGCAGAGGTTTGCTAACGTGCTCTATCAGCGATGCGGCGCCGAAAACGGCAGGCAAGCAAAGCTCCGACCACTATGATAAAGGTAGATGGTGATATGAGGTCCACATTCAGGGGTCGCTCAAGCTATGGAACCACTACAATTGAGTAATTGGGTAGCAATTGGAGAAGGATCAAGCTGCATGCAACAGGAAACAACGATGCCGGTGATGTTACAGAAGGAGGAATCAACTAATTCTGCTGTTCGAAGACTGAATTTCCCTAAGGAACAAGCTGTACCAAGTCCGGTCAAAGTAAACTCTGAAGCTGAAGGTCCTACTATGGCGGATGTGGTGAAAAACAATCGAGCTCAACATCTAGGTATGCAATTGAAGTTTTTCCCTCCAGTCATAAAAATGGAGTAAAAGTAGTGCAATTAAATGAGATCGAGATGGATAAACAGAGTAGGCAATGGAGAAATGCTTTGATTGGCTATGTATTAGGAGGTATGCCTAGTTTCAAAGAGATGCTACAATTTGTGTATGGAGTTTGGCAATTTGTGTCAACTCCTAGAGTATTCCTTCATGATGATGGATACTTCATATTCAACTTTGAATCGGAGGTTGATAAGAACTTATTGCTTCAGAATGGACCATATACTTTCAATAGTAGGCCGATGATCTTAAAGGAATGGATACCAGATTTCAAAATGAACAAGGAGCCTCTGCGACTTGTTCCACTATGGGTATCATTCCCTAAGCTACCTCTTTAATGCTGGACTGAGGAGAATTTGGGCAGGTTGGCTAGCTATCTAGGTCGGCCAATATGTACGGATAAATTGACAGCAACAGGAGATAGGATATCATATGCTAGAGTCATAGGATATCATATGCTAGAGTCCTCATTGAGATGGACATAACTCAGCAACTTCCAGAGGTGATAACTATTGAAAAATCTGATGGAACCATATGGGAGCAAACATAGGCTATGAGTGGAAGCCTAGATTCTGTTAAAACTGTGCACATTTTGGGCATTTCACTGAAAGTTGTGGAAAAGAGGATCAGCAAGAACAAAATGCCCAGCAGAAAGGTCAGAAAAAAGGGAAGCAGAAGCCATCACAGGAGAAGAAAGAATGGAAGGTTAAGTAGGACAAACCAAATATCAAGCCACAAGATCCTATTGCAGTTGAGGAAGATCATAGTGCTCCTACCAAAGTGCAAGTTTAAAGAAGTGGGAAGCAAGTAGTAGTGTTTCAAGGACAAAGGAACGGAAATCAACATGAGGTACAGAATCACCAGGAGGAAGATTTGGATAGTGATTCAGAGAAAACTCTGGGGATAAACCAATACTCAGCCTTGAGATGTTATGAAGAAGTAGTTGAAAAGAGAGTAAGTCAGAGACTTGCTAAGAAACAACCTCCATGATCTTTTGCTCCTGGAATATTAGAGGGCTTAATAAAGCCCAGAAGCAAAAAGAATTCAAGGATCTTTTGCTTGGAAAAAAGATAGATCCGATTGGTTGCCTTGAGACTAAAGTTAAATAACATAAAGGTGTAAAAGTTATCAGAAAGTTTGGAAATGATTGGGAGTTCTATACAGACTATACTCATGCCCCTAATGGAAGAATATGGCTGGGATGGAGGAGAGCTTTAGTTGCTGTGAATATTAGATATAGTACTACACAGTTGATTCACTGTTTTATTGAGGATAGACAATCTCAATTCAATTATGAATTGACATATGTGTATGGTTACAATACTATTGCAGGGAGAAAACCATTGAGGGATAAACTAAGGAACATTAAAGGTTTTATAAATGGACCTTGGATCCTATTGGGAGACTTTAATACCATACTGTTTAGTGATGATATAGTTAATGGAGTACCAGTTCATCCTGCTGAGACTGTGGATTTCCAGAATTGTATCACAGATTTGGGAGTGGGACAGGTGACTAGAAAAGGGTGGCAGTTTTCCTGGTGCAACAAAAGAGATGAGAATGAAAGGATATATAGTCATATTGATTTGGTGTTTGGTAATGCTGAATGGTTACAAACTTATGGTAGTATTGAAGCCAATTATCTGAATCCTGAGTGTTCAGATCACTCTCCCATTGTAATTAACACTGTGATAGCTAAACAATACCTTAAGAAGCCATTCAGACTGCTTAATGTCCTATTACAACAGGATGCTTTCAAGGCAATTGTTCAGAATGTGTGGCAACAGACTATTGAGGGGCATTGTATGTATGGAGTGTGGCAGAAGTTAAAGCTGGTGGAGCAGAAACTAAACAGTTGAATAAAGAATACTCATCATTAGAAGGCAGGATAATGAATTTGAAGCACAAATTGGGGGAAATTCAAGACAAGTTAGCAGAACACTTGTTTAACAGTAGCCTGATTAATGAAGAGAAAGAGATACTAATAGAGATGGAAAAATGGGGCACTATTCATGAAAGAGTCCTTCGACAGAAATCCAGAGCTACATGGATTTCCTCAGGGGACTCTAATACCAGATTCTTTCATGCTCATATGAAAGCTAGACAGGCAAGGAACAGGATCTCTTCTATACAGAATGAATAAGGAGTACTAATCACTGATCCAAAACTAATTCAGCAAGAATTTATTCAGTTCTTCAAGAAGCTATTGGGTACTGCTGCTGAGGAGTTGCCTTGTATTGATACAATCGTTGCAAGGAATGGTCCATGCCTAACTATTGACCAACAGAAAGATTTGATTAAGCCTATTACTAGAGAGGAGGTAAGTCAAATTGTTCAAAACCTTCCCAATGATAAAGCTCTAGGAATTAATGGCTTCCCAGCTGAGTTCTTTAAAGCAAACTGGAATATTATTGGGAAAGACATAATAACAACAGTTATGCAATTCTTTGAGAGTGACCAGCTTCTGAAAGAAATTAACTGTACTACTATAACCCTGGTTCCTAAAGTTCCAGCTCCCACTTTGGTTAAAGATTTTAGACCAATAGCTTGTTGTTTAACTATATACAAGACTATTGCTAAAAATATTAACTGAAAGGTTGAAGACAGTAGTGGATATGATAGTAGGTCCATCTCAGTCAGCTTTTATTGAAGGGAGGAGTATACTAGACAATGTCATAGTAGCACACGNACACTTTCAAGTTAACTCTAACTTGAATACTCAGAGTACCTAATACAATTGCTTCTAAGAAAGCTGAAAGGTACAATATGAAAACCTACTACAATTGAACTAGACTTAGAATAAACACAATGATGAAACTGGTTCTTCTATCTTAGTTCATGTAACTTCTGACGTGCACACTTGTATCTTGCATATGTTGCTTGCAAATCAGACTTGATCTTTTTGCTCTCAAATATGCTTAACTTCTGCTTATGTGCAATCACCTGTAAAAGAGAAAAATCGTTATATTTATAGAGTTAGTAATCAGAGTTTGATAAGAACTCGAATTGTGGATCCTTTGACAATTCGAGTCCAAGAACAACTCTAACTCCTAATCCATATTCTTGATCCGGATGTAATTCTCTTTTCATAAGGAGACTTCAACTCCTTATCCTATATGCAATCTTTTCGATCAGTTCAGAAGATATTCATCAAGATATTGTTGCTTGATCTCAAGGACTTATCTTCTTCACGTGCATCTCATGTGTATGGGCCATAACAACTGTGTCTCCTTAGATGAACGTGGTCCTTCACTGAGTTCGTTTGTCATTCTTCAAAACTTCAACTGATCTTGGGCCAACAAGGGAGAAAATCATTGTGGGATCAACTAAGGAACATTAAAGGTTCTATAAATGGACCTTGGATCCTATTGGGAGACTTTAATACCATACTGTTTAGTGATGATAGAGTTAATGGAGTACCAGTTCATCCTGCTGAGACTGTGGATTTCCAGAATTATATCACAGATTTGGGAGTGGGACAGGTGACTAGAAAAGGGTGGCAGTTTTCCTGGTGCAACAAAAGAGATGAGAATGAAAGGATATATAGTCATATTGATTGGGTGTTTGGTAATGCTGAATGATTACAAACTTATGGTAGTATTGAAGCCAATTATATGAATCTTGAGTGTTCAGATCACTCTCCCATTGTTTAACAATGTAATAGCTAAACAATACCTTAAGAAGCCATTCAGATTGCTTAATGTCCTATTACAACAGGATGCTTTCAAGGCAATTGTTAAAAATGTGTGGCAACAGACTATTGAGTGGCATTGTATGTATGGAGTGCGGCAGAAGTTAAAGCTGGTGGAAGCAGAGACTAAATAGTTGAATAAAGAATACTCATCATTAGAAGGCAGGATAATGAATTTGAAGCACAAATTGGGGGAAATTCAAGACAAGTTAGCAGAAGACTTGTTTAACAGTAGCCTGATCAATGAAGAGAAAGAGATACTAATAGAGATGGAAAAATGGGGCACTATTCATGAAAGAGTCATTCGACAGAAATCCAGAGCTACATGGATTTCCTCAGGGGACTCTAATACCAGATTCTTTCATGCTCATATGAAATCTAGACAGGCAAGGAACAAGATCTCTTCTATACAGAATGAACAAGGAGTACTAATCACTGATCCAAAACTAATTCAGCAAGAATTTCTTCGGTTCTTCAAGAAGCTATTGGGTACTGCTGCTGAGGAGTTTCCTTGTATTGATACAACTATTACAAGGAATGGTCCATGCCTAACTATGACCAACAGAAAGATTTGATTAAGCCTGTTACTAGAGAGGAGGTAAGTCAAATTGTTCAAAACCTTCCCAATAATAAAGCTCCAGGAATTGATGGCTTCCCAGCTGAGTTCTTTAAAGCAAACTGGAATATTATTGGGGAAGACATAATAACAGCAGTTATGCAATTCTTTGAGAATGGCCAGCTTCTGAAAGAAATTAACTGTACTATTATAACCCTGGTTCCTAAAGTTCCAACTCCACTTGTTAAGATTTAGTACCATAGCTTGTGTTCAACTATATAGAAGACTATGTCTAAAATA